AAATAATCAAATAAATCAAAAGGCCGATACGAGCAGTAAAATACAGGTTGGTCGTGTATAAAAAGTTGTCTTTATTCAATAAAGAGACGTTTCGGTCACACAAGTTTGGACCTTNTTCAGTATGAAAAAGTTAAAGTCTAACAAGAAAAAATAAAAAATAAAAAAATTAACAATAAATAAAATAAGCGCAAAGCCAACATCATAGTAAATTGAAAATAACATATTAATAAAACTCACTCAAATAAAAAAAAACTTTTAGTTCACTACATCACTAACAGATAAATGAAATGATGTCGATAAATTACAATAATATAATATGTACTGGCAAAAAAACATAAAACAGCTAAATATATATAGATATCCCCACTATCAGATCAGAAGATCAAAAGGTTCACATAAGTCGAAAAACATGTTTACAAATTAAATACAAAAGTAACGGTCTAAACTTTTGATCTATACAATTCTAAAAAGGGAAAGTAAGGTTTTAGCTTGTCAGTGTCCGACATTACATTTATTTTAGATATGTCGACGATATTATTCTGACAGCACCTGCGAATGGTTTAACTTTATTATTAGATACGTTCAATAATTATAATAAGAGATTGCAATTCACAATAAAAGTCTAAAATAATGATTTTTTAAGTTTTTTAGAGGTCAAGATTTTAAATTATCATGGTAAATTAAGTTTTGATTGGTACCATAAACATACTTTTTCGGGTAGATATTTGAATTTTTACTCGACCCATCCGCAATCACAAAAAATTTGTACAGTTTTGAATATGGGTGATAGAATTTTACTTTTATCTGATCCTTGCTTCCAACAGAATAATTTTAAATTTATGATTGAGGTGCTCTTTATGAATAATCATCCTCTACATTTTATATTTAAGATAATCAAAGGAATAGAAATAAATTTTTAATTTATAACAGATTAAATTTAAACATCGACAATAAATTTGTCTGTCATTCTGATCTTGAAACTGTTAAAAAATATTTTGTTGTTTTTTATCTTCCTGATTTTTCTGACTCTTTTTCAAGATGTTTAAAAAAAACTAAGGAGATTTCTTTGGCGTTTCGAAGTTTAAATAAATTGAGTAAATTCATAAAAGTTGGAAAGGATAAGTTAACTCATGATCAAAATAAAGATGTGGTGTATCAAATTAATTGTAATATATCTTATGTTGGACAAACGAAGCGTAAGTTAAAAACAAGAATTAGCGAACATAGAAATCGGATTAATAGAAATTCTGATTTTGTTTCTGTGGTTACGGAGCATCGTTTGGAGATTGGTCATGACTTTATTTGGAACGACGTTAAAATCTTGGATATGGAAAAATTTTTTTATAAGAGATCAGTTTCAGAAATGCTCCACATCAAGTTACAAGACAATCCGATAAATGTAATGTCGGACACTGACAAGCTAAAACCTTAC